TTCGAGTTATCAAGTCCCATTGCGTAACTACAAAGGGCTTGCTGAAGCCCATAAACAACTTTCCTTTTTTGGAAATACGACATGAATATGAATCTGAATAAAATTTTTTGAGTTCAATAATATTTTTGCAAGTCCATTTATGTTTTCCACTAGAATTTGATCTTGAAAAGACATAGGCTCGATAAATTGGATTGCCTTTGACAATTACTAGTTCTCCATTTTCTAGAAAGGCAATAATACTATCATTATATGTTACAGTTCTTTCTTCTAAACCTTGAGCTCTCAATCTTTGTCTTATTTTAGTTGTGATGTCAATAATTTCTGTTAAAATAAACTTTATTAATATGGAATCTAATTAAACTTTATCGATATCTTAATTTTAACTAACCAAAATTGTTTTCATAATCATTAAAATCATTAGTGTCAACTCGTATTATTACATGTTTACAATCTGAGATTCCTGCTAACCTATAACCTTTAAATAGACTTTCGAAGTTAAAATCAGGGTTTTTACAAAAATTATCAGAGGTTAGAGCACATTCAAGATCATTAATGTTTAATGAACTGTCGTATTTTACAATAAGCTCTTCCATTGTAACGTTCCATACAACAATTGATTTATCTTCTTCACTTAAGGTCGCTATACATTCCATGTTTGGTGATACGAAATATTCATCTATTTTTTTTCCTCCGTGCGGAATGTCATGCGGAAAATCATCTATCAAAATCTCTGTTTCGGATTTTGATGTGCTCATTTTGGGTAAGTGCGAATAAAGTTAAGATAAAATTTGATACTATTTTATATTTGTATTGAAAAATTTTTACAGTTTACAAACCAATTATGAGGACAATTAAGCAAGTTTATTCAATGTTTATTCAATAACAGTAAATAAATTTATGGCTTAGAAAAATCAAGCACAAAGAACCCTTGTTTGTAATCATTATTCACGGAATGAAATTTAACAGCTGATCGTATGTGTGCATGTCACGCAATATTATAATTAGTACTGTACATAGAGTTAATGGTTTGGCATCCAATTTCAGATAAAATAAATGACGTATTACTTCAAAATATGCGATCCATAAATCCTATTTTCTTTTTAACATATAAGCATAAAAACGTGTGCGCTTATTTAATTCACTTAGTTGGAATTTTAAAAATAGAAGCAGAACTTTTAAACTATTTTCAAAAAAGGTAATTCTAAAACTCCATTGTAAATAATTAAAATTAGCGTTTAAGACATATAATTGAAACATATAGAATTTGGCTGTAATTATTAGTTATATCTTTACAATGATAATTATTGTGGTAACCGCGCATTTCATCAAGCTTGCCCTGCAAATATTTATGTGTATAAATATTTATGGTAATATTTATTTCAAGTCTTAAAAAAAAACCAAAAAAATTTACGTATAATGGAATCACAGTTGTGTTAGTTCTTATGTTTTGAAATCTTTCTAATAACAATCCTGGCATAAGTTTTAAAATTATCCGTTTATTTTATTTATCTTTTTATATCATAAGTCAAAATTTATTTTTATTCCACATATCAAGGATGTTACGACATAAATACTAATGCTAAAATAACAATTTTGATTAATATATCTTCATTATGTAAACATAATATTATTGCCAGCCTCAATCTATAGTTGTTAATCTATAAGTAGCTGCGCAATGTTGTCGCGCGAAACCAGGAATGGGAGAAAACTACGCAGACACCATTTCAGTCACCAGAAACCATATTCTTCATTGCAATCCTTCCTGGTATAAGAAAATGACTCTTTATAAAAGAAGTTGATAGTACTTGCAATCTGAATATTGGTTTGAATTTCAGTGACTGAGCCTAAAAACCTATTAATGAAGTCATCACTAAAGATGCTTGACGAATGACGAAACATTCGTCATTGACGAATGACGAAACCATTTCGTCAGGCAACTTCTAATTGACGAATTGACGATTGACGAAACCTGTGACGATTGACGAAACCTATGACGAATGATATATATCATATAATATAGAGTTAATCAGCAATAATACAGTAATGTTATCTGTTATGCGCTTTATTTTAATGAAATGAAAATACTCTAACATATCTGATTTGTTATGAAATTCTTTTTATATTATGTAGTATGTGTATAGTTTTAAATTTTTCTTGTAAAATTTAAAAATTCGCTAGCGAATTTATATTATGTATAATTTGAAAGTACTTTAACAGCATAAATAATGTAAAATTATAAATTTTTATGCTTAGCGACAAATATAATCATTATCATGCATCATTATTAATACTTGTAATACAATAGAATATGTAATTATGATGTAATTTTTTTGAAGTATAAATTGATGGCTAACTTGTCTATTCTCTTTGCAATAATCCTTGATATTACTGACGGGGAAATAATTGGTTGCACGTGATTAAACGGTCCCATGGGACCGCGAAAATGGGTAAATCGCTAATTAGTGGGATCGACATAACAATTAGTAATAAGGTTAGCAATGTGACGTAAAACAATAAGACTATATAAGAGTCTATTATGGTTTGATAGTTTATTAGTAATACTAATTTGTAGTATCGATGATGTAAGCACACATGATAATTGAATAAATAAGAGATTCAATCTTGCAATCGAATCTCAATTTCTATTGTTCTTAGATAAAAACTAAAAGAGCCTAACTTATAACATCGCAGTGCCTTTAGGGTTAGAAGGTTGGAATCATTGTTAAGTGAAGAGGCAAGGAGTAGTTGCTGGAAGGAACATAGAAAACTAGCGAGTGTGTAATCATTTGAACCAAGCCGTTTGGGCTGGAATTTAGAGATAAATATACGCTTTAATTAATCCCCATGATAATTACAAATATAAATGTTTTACATACGTACCTTCTGAAAAGTATATATGTCTGTTAAAAGCAATACAATTAATATTCTAGCAGTTAAAAATTGGGTCTGGTCTAATAATTTGTCATTATCTCTTATATCACAATTTCAATCTTGATTCAACATAAAAAATTTTTTTATTATTGGTAAACAGGTTTTATTTCAAATCAATATCTTTTTTTTGGAAATGTATAATACCATCATACAACAATTATTCAATTTTACGATTATAAAAAAATACTATAAATACCTTTAATGCGTACTGTAGTATACTTTTGTTATGAGAAAAAAAAACCAAAATTATCATCTTTTTTGGAAGCTGTGTAATGTCATCAAGCAAACAAGTATAAACAACAAATTTTCTGAACTATTCTAATTATGATCAAAAAAAAAATTTAAATACCTCAATTCGTAGTATTTTTGTTTTCTATCGCGTATCAAAAAAAAAAACAAAAAAAAATGTCATCAAACAAATGAAAATCCAAAGCACCTGAATGTTCATCATATACATTCGAAAGAGAGGAATCACCAAACTCTTTGGCTTCAGCTTCAGCATCAACTAGTACTTCTATTTCATCATCAGCTAATACTTCTGAATCAAATACATCAAATAGAATAAACTCTGGAGGACGAGTATTAGCACCTGTATGGGAATATTTTCACTGTGAAAAAACAAACTCATATGGACATTACTTAGCAAAGTGTTCTTTTTGTTCAACTAAATGGGCAAGAGGTGAATGGTTAAAGCTTGAAGCCTATCTTGCATTGCAGTGCCCTTATGTTGAAGATAATATTCGGCAGTCATATTTACTACATGTAGCTAGTCGTAATAATGAAGAAGAGTCACCTGAAAATTTAACTAAATCAAAAAAACTAAGATTAGATAAGCAGAATAATCTCTCAAAATTTTTTCCACCAAAATCTGAAGACTTATCTGAAGAACGGATAAATTCTATAAATATTTCATTATTAAATGCATTTATAGTCTGTGGTATTTTATTTTCTATAGTTGAAAATACATTTTTTATCAATTTACTTCAAAATTTATGTCTGGACTATCAATTACCATCACGGAAAGTTTTATCTAGGCGTTATTAGACCAAGAGTATGCTAAAGTTATAGTTAAGCATGAAACTATTTTTCATGAATCAAAAAATCTAACTTTGGGTAGCTATATTTAATATTTTAATTTATAATTATTTTATTTATTATTAATTATATTTTTATATATAGCACTAGATGGGTGAACTTCGCCTAATAGAAATTCTATATATAGTTTCATTATTTTAACACCTATGCACAACAAATTTTTATATTCATTACATGATTTTTCTGCAAATTCACATATAGCTGAATTTCTTGTAGAAAAAATTGATACAATTTTAGATGAAGTTAGATGTGATAGATTTACAGTAATTGTTACAGATAATGCAAGTAACATGAAACTTACACAGCAAACTATTCATGAAAAATATCCCAAAATTTTAAGCTTAAACTGTATTGCTCATTGTATCAACCTCGTGTCTAAAGATATTTTAAGTATGTATTAAAAATATTTGAATTATAATAATTAAATTATTAATATATAATTATTTTAGAACATAGTTTTGTCTCGCGCCTTATAAAAGGATGTAATGAAATTATAAAATACTTTAAAAAATCACATCAACTAAATGCATATTTGCAGTAAGCAATTCATGAATTAAATATTCCTGATAGTGGATTAAGAAAATTTATAGACACAAGGTAGACATCAGCATACAAATGCACTTTATCTGTTAGTCAACTTGAGCATGTATTTATTAAAGTAAGATATTTATTTTATAAATTAATATTTTTGTAATATTTTAAATTAATATGTAAATTTTATTTTATATAATATATAGGTTATGAATGAGAATCCGAACTTAATTACGAATCATACTGTTAAACAAATCTTGAAGTTACCTTATTTTTTTTCTGATCTTAAAATTTTAGTCAAAATTTTATCTCCAATTTGAACTGCTATTATGAACTTGGAGACCCAATCAACAACACTTGCAGATTGTTTTATACAATTCGTTGGTTTGGCAGCTGCTATTAAAAAAATTCTAAACTTACGAATTAATGAATTTAAAAATTATTGCAAGCAAGTTTTTAACAAAAGGTGGAATGATTTTAATACAGATATTTATTTGCTTGCATATTTTTTCCACTCAGGATATCATGGTATGCATATTATGAAGATTTTAATAAATAAATATATATAGTTAATAAATTTTTTATTTTATTAGGTACTGGTTTATGAGAAAGTCAATTTCAAGAAATTGCACAAATTGCAATTCAAATATGGAAAAATGAAGACTATGATGAATATGAATGTGCAAATCTTATTGTATATATGCGATTATTTTGAAAAAAAGAAGATGGATTTGACTTGCCTTATAGTTTTGAAACTGATAACCCTTTGTTATGGTGAATGACAAATTATGCTGGCTCCAAATCTATTGAAAAGCTTGCAATTAAAATTTTTTCAATTACATCACATTCTGCTGATTGTAAAAGAACATTTTCAGCATTAGGTTAGATTTATAAAAAACAATGATGCAAACTTTCTTTATTACAGCTTCAAGCTATGGCACTAGTTTGATCTTTTTATATTTCAAATATAAAAAAAGAACTTGCTTTTTTTGGCAAAAAAATATTGTTGAATAACTTACAAGTACAAGTTGCATCTGCAACTTTTTAGTTGAAGATAATGAAAGAATTATAGAAAATTTTGAAATAGAGGAAGTTGAATGTAATTTAGAAATTATTAAACATTTTGATATTAAAAACATAGTATGTTTAAATGATAAAGTATTTTGAGATGGTGAATCTGATAGTGATAATGAAGTATTTCAAGATTATAAAGATGAGTTTGATGAACTTGATTATGATGAGTTATCTGGTAACAAAATGGGGCAAGGTGTATTTGATTTTGACCCTACAGAATTGGCAGCGAATTTAGTAAGAGAATGGGATTATGAAAATAATGACTTAAATATAGATAATATAGATTCAACGAATACTATAAATAATATAGAGTCGAATACTATAGATAAAAATAATGCAAGTGATAATATTAGTAGAGATTCAAGTATTATAGAGAATAAAAATGAAGCATTAGAGTCTTTACCTATAGTACTTAGAAAAACATGCTGTCAAATCTTAAAAAGATAAATAGCACTAAAATTTAGTATACAAATTGCTTAGAAAAATGTGTAAAATTTAAAAAGATAATAAATAAAGCTTTGTATTATCTTTTTATAGAATAATTTTTCATATTTTGTGTTTCATTAGTAGTTTCATCAATCGTCGCCAGTTTCATTAATCATTGCCAGTTTCATCAATCGTCAACAGTTTCGTCAGGATCGTCATTTGACGATTCCATTCGTTAATTCAGAAATAGTTTCGTCAAGCATCTTTAGTCATCACTAGTAATGTGCAAATTTCAATTTTTTTCTCATTTCATGCGCATGATGCGCATGGGAATTATTCGGAATCTTTATGAGTTTTCGGAATATTCTGGAAGCTATTGAAAATTTCCGGCTCATATTATCTGTCAGCATTATATTGCTTTGCCAGCATTATAAAAATCATGTGTATGATTCTATAATTTCATGCGCATGTCATGTGCATTGCCCATTACTAGTTATTACTCAGTTCTGATGAATCTGACTCAAAATACTGGGGCCCTGCAAAAAACATTAAAAATCTACGAAACATATCTGTATTTAGAAATGATCGATGAATTCTTTTGATTAAGTCTTTGACGATTAGTGATTATCATTTTATCTGCCTAATAAAAAATTCAATGAAAAAAAATGAAAATTACAGATGTATGTGCCCATTTATGTTTTTTTTTAAAAAATATTGAATCATCAATAAGTACACAAACCAATCAATTCCAAGATTTTGCGTACAGAGGCATTTGTTCCTGGTATCTACCTTTTAAAGTATTGTTCGGGATGCTACACAAAGTCATGATAACAGATTACCCAATCATATGCTGAGAATTATACACGCATATTTGAGTTGCCTGTAAACCATAGTATCCTAGCTATGGCGAAAACAAGGTGTCTGGTTATGTAATTGCCTAAGCATCTGGTCTGATATCTACAAAATCAAAACAATCGAAGACAACAGAAAAAAACCTTATTTTTAGGGTAGGAAATCATATAATATAGTAAAATTTTGCAAGAAATTTTTTAATTAGAGCGCAGAAGGTGATTTAATAAGCAAAATTTTAAGCTATTTGCAATTGTTGAAAAACTTTATTGTTTTCATAAAATTTCACGTTACACCAGATCCTGGATTCTGATTGGTGGGTGATCATTTAGAGCATCAGAAATCACATGACCTGACACTTCATTTTCACCATGGCTAGGGTACTTTGTAATCCATATACTATGTACTTCATACTCTGTTCCTGGTATAGTTGTTGGTCAAAATTATTAGTACAAAATGAATCCTAAGCCAAAAATGCCGAAATTATGTGATTTCTGAAAAAGAAATCCTATCAATAGAAGGTAAAGCTCGCCTTTGAAGCTTTGATAATCATGAAAAAATAAGAAAAACTAAACTATTATAGTAAACAAAAACATTTACCAGGAACGAAGTGATGAAATCATGAAGCATATGTGCAATAAGTGGCACCCGTCCGCAAAATCTTAAGTTTGATTGATCCGCATGGCTTATTCATCAAATTTTGGTTATTAGGTATGCACGTTCATTCGGATATGATATGTAATAACAGATCATAATTTGAATACAAACTAATACAAACGTAAGCGATGTCATAGTTGTGATAACTAACAATATTAAAAACAAGAATTTTAAACACAAAAATTTGTAACACAGTGCAAATTAATTTGCATATTTACCTGATATTTGATATTTTTTGTTTTTTTCATACAATTTATTATGCATATATTTATGTATTATGGATTAATTAAAACAGTATTCATAAATAAGACAAAATTTTTAATTAAATTAACTGAGAAGTTACCTAATTATATATTAATAACAATCAAAAATTTTAAACTATTTATATAGTTATCAATCATTTACTCTTAAATCCTTTAGAATTAAAATTTATTAAAACTTCCTATTCTATACATCTTACATAAGTGCTATTACTTATACTCATCTACTTGCATCTATATTAATATATTAACTTTCATCTTTACTGAATAACTTATTCATCTGATTTGTTATTATATAATTTTGTAAATTATTTATTACAACATATTTTTAATATTATTATATTTAATATTACTTTTTATATTATAATTAACTTATATTATCAAATTAAACAATTACATTATATGTCTATTCATAGTATATTAGACTTATTTTTAGTTTTTTCAATTCTATTAGCCTTAGTATCAAATAAAATATTTTTATAATCATAAACTTATTATTTAAAAAATATTATTATTAAAATATAAAGTACTTAATGTCTATTTGTATATGTACAAATAACAGATTTTAATTAACTAGATCAAGTATAATATAAAAAATTAAAATAATTAATAATTAATATTTATTCAACATTTCATATGATAATGTGAATTTTTTTGGTATAATATTTTTTGTATAAAATTATATAATTAGTTTTGCAAAACATTATAGAAAAAACTTCATATAATCATATTAACTATCCAATAATATTATTATTGAATATACATATAATAAATAATAGGCTTTTTTTTATTAGAGTTAATTTTACTCATATGATACTATGCAACACATAAAGTTACTTAACACTGACAAAAAATAATTGCCTATTATTTTTTGTCATCTGTTTAATAATATATACTTATTGTTTAGATTAAATATAATATAAAACAAAAATCTTTCAGATTTTGAATAATCTTCATTTTTTTAATTATTTATAAAAATATTTATTTCTTAATTGTAGTACAGATAAATTTATCTGTTTTAATTTTTTAAAATTAATTTTTATAATAAAAATTTAACAATTAATTTTTAACAATATATTTTAAATAAAAAATATTTTTAATACCCTATTTTATAAACTTTATTAAGAAATTTTTTTTAACTTTATTAAAAAATTTTTAAATTAATTAAAATTTAAAAATTGTATAATATTAGGATTTAATATTAAAATATTTTTTAGGTTGTCTTAAATTTTATTTGTTTCTAAAGTTAAAAAAAATTTTATTCTTAAGACAAGTATTAATTTTTATCTATAAATTACTAAACTTGTAATAATTAAAATTGTAACTTTGATATAAACTAAAAAATTGTATTAAATACTATAGGTTTAAAATTAATATTTAAAAAATTTATTATAGTATTAAGAGCAAAATAGATACCAGAATTGCTTTAATCTAGTATCACTCTAATCTATATTCTCTTACAACAAGAATGTCCCTTAAACAAACTAACTATTGTGCATTAATTATATCTCAAAAACTTGAAAGCCAAACTACTTAACTGAAACAATGCTATAACAATATAAAATTAGAAACTATAGTTGTTTATTAGTATAAATCTGCCAAGTTGAACTAGTTGTTTGTATTATAAAAAACTATTTAAAATTCTGATCATAATGATAGATTTGAAACAATTAAGTTTGGTAAAAAATGTTTGATCTTAGGTCTCCGTACTGTCTATTTTGTAAGATGCTATTTTTGTATAAAAATACATCGTTTTTTAAAAAAATAATTAGTTAGTTAGAAAGAATATTTAGTAGTAGTCATAGTAATAATATTAAAACTAAAATAATAATAAACCAAGATCTTGCACTCACAGCTTAGTCTTGCCAAATTATTTTATCTCTTTTATAGTGTAATATTTCATGATATTTTGTATTTTTATATGTTATATTTTCTTAACTATTATATACTATGTACCAAAATTCCTCTAACAATAGATGAATTAAAATTTTTTTTTGTTAAATTTTTTTTTAAAATTATATATTTTTAATTTATAATTTAATTTTTTTTCTTATAATCCAAAAATAAATACTACTAAAAGTAATCTTTATTTTTAAATATTATTATATCAAATCAAAAAAACAACTCTTTCCGATGATCCTCTGCACCAATTTTTTCACATATACCGACCTACGAAAATTATATAGTTAGCATGTTTAT